ATTTTATATGAATACTACCTTATGAAAAAGTGAAATGTAGAGTGAGGGGCCCCATATCATTAATTAGGGGTGGGGTCTGTATCATAGATTTGGTGGGAGCCCATGAGCACCAGCCCTGGTTAAAATATATTTCTTATGACAAAGATTTAATTACCAACATGTTTTATTTTTGTTTATTCCACAACCAAGGTACCATAAATATTAAATATAATAAATGTAATAAATTTATTATCAAGCCCTTTAAATAAGGAATTGAATATCACAAATGGAATAGCTTCAATATTTAATATAATAAATTTTGTAAGAATTTAATATAATAAATTTAATATTGAATATTTATATCATAAATGCTAAATATATAAATAAATTTAATATCATAAAAGTTAATAAATTCAATATCGCATATTTAATATCATAAATATCATAAACTTAATGTGTTTATTTCATAAAATCAATAAATTTAATATCATAAATTGATTAAGGTAAAATATTTATAATAAGTTTTATATCAAATATTTAATCAAAAATATTTATAATAAATTTAATATCATAAATATTTAAGATGGTCAGAAAAGACCAGCAGAGAAGAAGATGTAATATTTTTTTCAAGGAATCATGAGATTCTTGAAATAAATCAATGACTTGTTTTTCTCTTAAGTGTATAGCAATTTCTAAACGGATATGTCATGATGAAAAACCAGTCAAATATCTCTTTTTGTATTATTCAAGTATATGAATTTCTATTAAAAATATGGATGGATCCAACAAATAAATGAGTATTTGTAAAAAGCAATCATATGAAACAAAGAAATTCAATAGTTAGGAATAAATTTGAGCATTATTAAGAGAATAGTACTGTTATATTTATATGAATATTGTTCAGGGCTTTTTACCATTGAAATGCATGGCAAATAATTTTACTATATTATAGCATTGTCTGGGGTGTATCACCAGTGGTAGTACCTTTGTAGTGAAGAGGTCAACTTGATTTACTTAGGTAAATTGGGATGTGAAACTGCACTGATCCTTGCCCTACATCCAACTCTCACACATGGCTTCAAGAAGTTGTATGGGCACCCTGATGACCACACCTCAGCATTGACTTGTCAGTTAAACAGTGTGAAGGTAGTCAGAAAGATTGAAAATTCCTACAAGGAATTCTGAACTGAAACCTTTATTTAATTATATGGGAGGAAGACTTCTTGTTCCACTGCTCATGAATTCTAGTTCTTATTTACTACTGTTCACTTATTGCTTGCTCTTTTCATTCTGAGAAGAAGTACACACTTCCTAATCCAAGGATTGAACTCATGACCACTATGTCACCAAATTCACAAACCAATGCTTTTATCCACTTGACCATTGTAGGATGATTTGATGTAATAAACTTAGAGCCTTAAACTTAACCTGGCTGCTGCAAAATAAGAACTAAATGATATCCCTAGACATGAGAAGTGGAATGAGAAGTCTACACAGTAGATTTAATAAAGGGTTCATTTCATAATTCCCTATAGGTTACCCAAATCAATATACACCAGAGAAATCCTGGAAGGAACAACATCCAAAATGTTGTGACAACAACATCAAAGATGAGGATAATAGTCTAAATATAAATAGTGTAAATAATGATAACTCCTCATTCCAGAAATTCAGAAAATATATTTGTGAATTGTCATGATTTCTTGGGAAAGATAGTAAAATGGGTTTCTGGTGCTTTTTCCTTAGTTTTGAATTTAGAGCAATCTTTCTCCTAGATTGGCTGTCATCCAGTCTATCCTGCTATTTAACCCATACTGAGGGAGAGACAAGATGAAGAACATTAATATGAAAATGAATGTAACAGACAATGCTGGAAAGTGATTTTAGATTATAGATTTCCTTGTTCTATGCTGGTAACCTTTACATCATCCTCATATATTCAACAAACTGAATAAGGTTATTATAATCTGGTATAAACCCTGAACTTTTAGGGGGTTACAATAATTTTTTTTAATCATTTTACCCCAAGATCCATGATGTTACTGAGAGTGAAAGAAACTGTGAAGATATTATTAAGGAGAAAGGACAATAAAAGAATGGGTTCAAAAACATAGAAGATGATGATTGACATTGCATTTAATTTTTTGAAGATCATAGTTGAAAGGAATAAAGAGATTTCCACAGGTCAGAAGTGTGAGAGAATAAACTATTATTTAGTCCAATGGAGCATGAAACATGTTGCATGAAAACTTTTCCCGCTTTGTCATACTTTTCCATCCCTATAATTATTCTTGATATATAAAAACTTTATATATTGTTTTCCCCAGTTATTAGAATAGAATCTATGGTTAGCAATTTCAACAGTAAAATAATGAAACCTAACTGCCAATCTAGTACTATGCTTAAATTCATGAATTCAAGGAAATCTCATCTGAACAATTACCATGAAATTATTTCCAGGAAAAGTGCAGGGAAGCTATGTTACAGTAGTGAGAAAATGACTGGAGCCAAGATGCCAGGTTGAGGCCAATAACATTGCAGATTCTTCTGTGGGAGTTATCAAGAATCTTGAGATACATAGCATAAGCACCAGATCAGATGTGGTAACAATATTCAATACATGAATGAATGAGACTTATAAATGGGTAAGGTAGATTCTGACAAGAAGAATTGTCTAGCATGACACATTGAACCAACTTTCCTAGCAGCAGCCTTTTTTTTTAAGCAAATCACCCCAAGCAATGTGGGAGTGCCAGTAGCATGCAAGGAGTTAAAGAGAGTGAGAGTAAGAATAAAGGGGAGTGTTTGGGAAAAGGATAAAGAGAAGAACAGGGGTCAAGGTCAAGGCATCAGAAGATGTTGATTGACATTAGATTTGAATATTTGAAGATTATAGCTATCAGGGAAACAAGTGATAGGAAGGGAGTTCCACTGATGGTAGGTGCAAGATAAGAAGCTGTTGGATTAGAAGAGATGGCTACATTTAGCCATTTTGAAATTGAAAGGACTCAGACCGAGATGCCAACCTAGTAGCATGTTTAAATTGTGCAGTTTGGGAACCAGTGGAAGTAGCTTGTCAGAGCAGTTGCCATGAAAATACTTGTACAAAAGACAGAGGGAAGCCACAGCACGTCTGTGAGAAAGTGATTGTAGATGGGATGCCAGATCAGGACCAATCACATTGCATATCCGTCTCTGGATTTTGTCGAGGACCTCGAGATGAACAGTGGGGGCTCCAGACCATATATGGCAGCAGTATTCAATGCAAGGATGAATGATTGGTTTGAAGGTTGGACTCAGGTGAGAAAAACCTGGTATGAATCAGAGAACCAACACTCCTTGTGGTAGACTTAGCAACTGGTGCAAAATAATCATTCTGATACATATCAGGGGAAAATGTTAGACAGAGAATTGACAATGAGTTACTCTCAAGGAGGTTAGCATCAGCCATACTGATGGAAGGCAAAAAAGTTCTTTGAAATGATTAAAGGAAATCAAATAATGTGTTTATTTATTGTTCTAACAATATCTTTATTTTGTGATGTCAATGAATACTCATTGTCACTTTCATAATGCTTGTTGTAGTAGAGCCTTTGTAATCACAGATACAACTATAGTATGTTGTTGAATAATGCTGGTGTCAGACCCCTTTGAATAGCACTTGCACTAATAGTACTTGCTTGATAATACGTGCTCAAATAGTAATCACTGTATAGTGATCCGAATAGAGAAATACTATAGTGAATAGGGTAGAGAATAGCGGTTCATATAGTAATAGAGGATAGAGTAGAAATGATGATTTGTATAATAATAGAGGATAGACTAGAAATGGTGATCAATTGGAAATCACACCACTTCCTAATTATGCGTTTCCTCTATGGTCATGTAGTTTACTTAATTCAATAATGGGATCGCCTGTGTTTGCTTACTGACAGTCTATCTTCATACTCAAGTGTAGGCAGTGACATTTTATTCCTATACAACAGTTTAAAATAATATTTTAAACACTGGCATTCACATATAAAATTATGAAAGTATATATAGTGAGAAATATTCTTGACATTGTTTACAGAAAATTCAGTGATTTTTTTTAATGATAATTTAATAGAAAATTTCATAAAGGAAAAGACAAAATGTATTTATTGCAGAGATTGTATTTAATAAAAGCTTTTTTTTTTTAATCACTTCACTCCAAGCAAGAGAGATAAGATGCAGTGAGTTACTGAGTAGGAAGGAATATAAGAAAAAGTAAAACATTATTAAGACGTGAGAATAATAAAAGAACAGGAATTAAGAAGACAGAAGATAATGATTGATATTGCATTTCAATTTTTGAAGATCCAACTTGACTGGAAATCAAGAAGCCAGAAGTGACAAGTGAGTGAAAAGAAACTGTTAGCATAGAACTTTATATGGTTAGGGTTATATTTAGCTATATCAACTGTAAAATAATGAGACCTTTTCACCCATCTAGTACTGCGCTTAAATTTATAAAGTCTCGGTACTGAAAAGGAACGTTTATTCACACAATTACCATGAATGTATTTATAGAAAAGGCACAGGGAAGCTACATATTGGCAGTGAGAAAGTGACTGAAACTGAGATGCCATGTCAAGACCAATAACATTGCAGATTCTTTATATTTTATCAAGGACCTCCAAATATATAGCAGGAGCATCGGGCCATATGTGGCAGCAATATTCAAAGCATGGATGGTTGATGGAATTTATGAAATGTAGATTTTTTAATTGAATTAAATTTGAGAAAAAATTACATTTAAAAAATTTGATCTAAATTACTAAGAATAAAATGAGACAGCTTGAAGAAGAAAAGAAAAAAACTGGGAAAAATGAAAAAATAATTAAGAAAAATAAATAATTAAAAAGAAGTTGAAATTTAACCTTTAAAAAATGTAAATCAAAAAAGAAAGAGAGAGAAGAAAAGCAAAGAAAATAGAGGATAAAGAATTAAAGGAAAAATGGTGGTGTAAAATGAATAGGAAAAAAAAAAATGAAGTAAAATCAAGAAAAGAGAGAGGAAGAGGAGCTGTGTTGAAAAAAAGGAAAGAGATTGTATAGAGAGAGGGGAGGAGGAGCTGTGTAGGAAAAAAGATAATAGATTATAAAGAGAGGAGGTGGAACAGTATAAAAAAATAGATTGCAGGGAAAGAGGAGGAGGAGAAGGTACTGTGCAGAACAAGTCAAGAAATTACAAAAGCAGAGAGAAAGAGAGAGAGGAGGAGGAGGAGAAGAAGCTGTGTAGAAATAAAGGAGGTTATAAAGAGAAAGAGGAGGAGAGAGAGAGAGGATCTGTGTGAAAAGAATTGAAAAGACATTGCAGATAAAAGAGAGAATGAGAGGAGGAGTAGTGTAGAAAAAAAATCAATAAAATGAAGAATAGCAAATATGATGCAATAAATGCCAAATTCTATGATTTGTTTTATTCCCAACCCACAAACATTTTAAGAAGAGCAGATTTCTTAGATTCTGGACTTATTTTTCTGTTAAATTGCAGGATGTGTTAGAAGACAAACAGAAAAAAGAAAGTGCAAATCATATTCTCAATATATTTTGTAGGATAGAAGCTACTTTTGAAGATGAAATGTGACATTTAGACATTTGGAAAATAATTTTGTCAGAGGGAACAGGCCTGTTATTTCACCCATAACTGGGGGAGAAGAGATGGATTCATGCCTTTCCCAAGAGCAATAACATGAAATGAATGTAACAGACTCAATCAAAATATGAAAACTTATAACAATCATGTTATTCACAAAATGATCATTTTAAAGAATAAAAGAATTTATTTAATTATTAATCATCAAAATTCATTAGAATACAACAAGAGGATGGAAATCAAGTCTCTAATATAATGGAATATTTCATCCTAATTAGTCTAGAAATTTTTCAAGTATTCATTTGCTATGTATCAAAGATATTTCAGGAGATGGTCTTATGGTTGCTTATGGCATTAAACTAACAATCACCATGCAGTGTTGAGGTCTTTGTCTACACTTATAATCGATCTATCTATCTTTGATACATTATTTGGTTCTGCCAATTCTAAACTTCATGGCAAGGGCATGGCATGCCACTTACATCATTGTAAACCACCCACATCCCCTCTGTATTCTATTGGTGAGAAGTAAATTCCACTCAAACAGTGTCTTCCGATGAACCACTCCTCTGTGGAACCGACTTCCAAAAGGATATTTCCCTGAACACTACAACCTTAACTTGTTCATGTCTAGGGTTAACTATCATCTTCCCCACCTATCTATATAAACTACTCCTTAATGTAATCCCCAATCTTGATCCCCCTCCCCAGATCTTCTACAGGGTGAACTTTTGAACACTATAAATATATATATATATATATATATGGAGAATTTATATATTTTTTCTAAAAGTTGTAGTCTTTAATTATGGTGTGAGTTTTATTCCATTGGAATCGTAAATACAATTGGACGGTCTGATGAATTGGATCGTATTTACGATTCCAATGGAGAAAATTAAACCATGGAATATTAGTGTTTGCCCTTTTTACTATATCCTTACTCTGTCCTAGACATTGAGTTCTACCTGGATTCTTCCTCTTGAAAAAATTTTTTTTTTTTTTCAAAAATATACATGTATGGAAAATTTATATATTTTGCATATGTATGTATATTTTCCACTAATATTATCTATCTATCGAATCTATCTATCTATCTATATATATATATATATATATATATATATATATATAAAAGAATTAATGTGAGGAAAATTTGTCAACTGATTGATGAGACCTTCAGTATCCTGAATCAGATTTTTTGGAGATGGAACTGTCTGTCCACTCTTCAGGAGGTATCAGAATTACTTATTTAAAAATATATATATATATATATATATATATATATAGTAGGCATCTGTATATCTTGTGAGATAAAAGGTAGCACCCTTATAAGAAATTTAAGTTTCTTGAGCATGTATTGTCTGCTTATCTGAGAGAAAGCAGACACTATATCTTGCTTAATTTTTGCATTTCAAAAATAATTTTAGTATATTTCAATTTGTGGGAAAGCAGCTGCATTTCTTTTGTTCAGCCAGAACCAATCAAAAGGCTTCCATACAAATTCTGAAAAGTGAATTCAGAGCCTACCTGTAGGTTATAAAAGGAGGGCTTGGATTTAATTGAAGGAGTCAAAGAACATCTGCTGCTGGAACCCAGGTTGCCCCAGTCCAGAAAGAAAAACGATACAGAAGAAATTTGACAACCACCAGATGAGAATTGAAAGGAACATGAAAGTCAATCCCACATCAAAGAAAAGTCTTCTATTCTATTCTTTGCTGTTACCATGAACTTTGCTTTGAAAATTGTACCAATTCTTTGAAAACTATTCAGAGAAGTATTTTCTCCCTTTCTACATTTTATATGTTTTTTTTTCTGAGGACCTTATGCAGCATTATAAGTTTTATTGTAAAATGGCATATTTCATTTACATACATGTTATTTGGCACACAATGCTCTTAATTTGTGTTATTTATTCATTTTTTTTGTGTTAACAATAAATTTATTGTTTGTTCTTAAATTCGGCTCGTGTCGTCTGTTTCTGTTGTGTACCTATATAAATTAAATGTTACCTCAAACATTTGTTTGAACTATTTTTTTCTAGGGTTCTTTTACAGAATAAAAAATTCCTTTAACCTGGTTGGTCAAAATTCAGTCCTTTGGTAGTGAGACTGGAGTAAACTCTCCAGAACACAGGCCTAGGTGATGATATATAGAGGCTTTGTGCTGCTCAGACTAGATGACCCTTTTTGGCTGTACTGACAAGATCCAAAGGAATAAAAGGCATTACATTTGGGGATGGTTTGGCTGCAGAAGTTGCCAGAAAGTTGTCAGTGTTGACAGCCAACTGTTTTTGAGGCACCACTCCAAGATTTCTGTTAGGATTTACTTCCATAGCCTTTTCTGTGTTTCAGATGACTGCAAGGAAGTAGAGGTGTAAAATCAGGGTATTCCTCCTCCTAGATGGTTGCCTTTCTGGGCTGTTGAGCTTCATCTACACAAAGGAGGTGGTTATGAGGCACCTGTTGTCCAACTTTGACCATTCTCTGGCTTGGAGCTGGACTTAGTTATCAGTGGCTACTTGAGACACATACCATGGAAGCATTATATAGGCAGTGGGAATAAACATTACATGCATTATATGTTTTTTAGTGTACCTTGGCATGATGTAATTGTTAGCAAGCTTGTCTCACTAGATCAGTTATGACTAAAAAGTGAGTTTGATCCTCACTAGGTACTCCGTACATTCGGCCTTGTGCCAAATCTAAGCTATGCTTAGAAAATAACCATACATTACATGTTTTAGGAGCTCAAAAAAATTAACAATTTTTAAATATATAATAAAACGTTAGGTAAATAAAAACACTAGAAAACAAGACAAATTATGAAAAAAATACTTTGAGATTTAAACCTAAAATACTTGGAGATTATGAAGTCATACAATAAAATAACTTATACTGCCTTTTTGACAGTCAGTCAGTTAAATGCCATACGTGATACATGCTTGGGTGATCATGTCTCTTTTAATCCATGACTGAATAGGTAGAAGATATTTCGCAGTAGGTTGCTATTTGTTTCTGCAGTAGACTTGTTACCAACCAAGACTATAGGATCCAATCTGTCCTGCTATTCAACCCATAGCTAGAGGGAGTAGAGATGGATTCATACCTTTCCTCAAAAATCACAACACATTTGGTCCATTTTACTGCTTGCTTGCTATGGTTTTCTTCATGACCAAGTGGTCAAGCATACAAGCTCAGTGATTTTACTTACAAAGGCTCAAATATATAATAATAATGATAATAAAAAACACTTTCTGGTTTCTGGTAATTGGATCTGATATGGTAATTTAATTTATTGCCCTTCTTATTTTCAAAAATCCTTACATATTTTCCTTACACACAGTTTTGTGTTTCATTCTGACCTGAAGAAGCCAAACCAGAAACAAGTTGCCAAAACGTGTTGTCACTTAAAGCAGCTTTTCCAGTTTGTCCAATCATCTCCACTCTTGTTTCGGATACTATTCCACATCCTACTGACATGCATACATTTATGCATATCATTAACATGGATCAACAGCCAGAAGCTGTAACTATGGTGATTTGGTGGCAGGGTAACAATTGCAGAGCTTACAGACCATCTCATAGTGCATCATGTAAGGGTGTCTGCTTGTCTTGTAACAAGAGGGAATAAAGAATCAATGAACTACCACAGTTCACTGAATTTGGTGGCATAGTTTTACTGTTAAGAAAAAAAACATGTATGAATGTGCACATATAATTTAATGAATTTGATGGTGTATACAATGTACAGGCATGGTGGCATAATGGATAGCAGATCAGATTGAGGAATCAGAGAGCTGAATTCAAATTCCAGTCAAATCCTTTACATTCACTTATGAGTTAATACCTTTGGGAAAGGTATGAATCCTCTTCTTCTCCCCCACCCAGCTATGGGTAAATAGCAGGGCAGACTGGGTTCTATAGCCTTAGATGGCAACTGGTCTACCACAGAAAGAAATGGCAACCTACTGCAGGAAAAAATCTGCCTTGTCAGTCATGTATCAGAAGGTACATGAGTCATGTATCACAATGGCACATAATGACTGACCTTGGGAAAATGAATCCTCTTCTTCTCCCAACAGCTATGGGTAAATAGCAGGACAGATAGTTCTATAGCCTGACCAACTGGTTTGCAGGAAAAAAATACAGGAAAAATGGTCTCATGTTCTTCGCCCAACATATGGCAGCTATGGTATGTCCCAACAATGGGTAATAGCAGGACAGACCGAGTTCTATAGCCTTGGATAGCAACTGGTCTACTGCAGAAAGAAATAGTAACTACTACAGGAAAAATCTGCCTGGTCAGTCATGTATCAGAAGGTACATGACCGCCTAAATGTGTATCACATATGGCACATAACTGACTGACCTTTTTGGGAAAGGGAAATGGGGTATGACAGACCGATGATAGCAACTGGTCTACTGCAGAAAGAAATAGTAACCTACTACAGGAAAAAAAAAATTGGTCAGTCATGTATCAGAAGGGTACATGACCGCCTAAATGTGTATCACACATAACTGACTGACCTTTGGGAAAGGTAATCCTCTTCTTCTCCCAACAGCATGGGAGCAGGACAGACCGAGTTCTATAGCCTTGGATAGCAACTGGTCTACTGCAGAAAGAAATAGTAACCTACTACAGGAAAAAATCTGCCTGGTCAGTCATGTATCAGAAGGTACATGACCGCCTAAAT